CGGCCGGCCCACCGCGGCCCCGGCCCAGCGAACGCCTCGGGGTCCCCCGGGTGCTAGTTCCCAGGAGCCCGGCCGCGTCTGCCGGCCCGGCCCCCGGCGGGGAGAAGGGGGTGTGTGTGTGCCCCGCCGGGCGCGGACCTGCCCGCCTTCCTGCCTTCCTCCACCGCCGCCGCCGGCCGCTCCCTCCCTCCGGACAGGCGGCCCGGGTGCCCAGGAGTTTCGGGGCTTGGCGAGCGCACGGACGGCTTCCCTGGGTCTCGGCGAGCGGATCCGAAGCAACAGCTCCCACGGAGCCCCGGAGCCGGGCAGGCAGGCGACCGAGAGCGGACCACGCCGGCAGGGAGTCCCCGAGACAAAAGGCGAGCGCCGGGCCGCCGCGCCGCCGCCGCCGCTCCCAGCTCGCTCCCCCTCCGGACCGACCCGAGCCGGAGCTGAACTGAACCCCAAGCCACAAACTCCTCGGGCTGCGGCAGCTGCCGCCGCGCGCAGCCCGGGCCCCGGCCGAGTCTCTCTTACCTACACAGTGCATGAGGCGGTGGCGCCAGGAGTCGAGTTCCCGCCGGAATCCTCTCCTCTCCGCCGCGCACCGAGGGCTCCGACACTGAGCGGCAGCGGCGGCGGCAGCAGCGGCGGCGGCGGCAGCGGCCATTCTCTCTCTTCCCTTGTCCATCTGCGTCCCGCGTCACGCGCCCTCATTTACATACGAGCGGCGCAGGCACGAGGCAGGGGCGCGAGCCCTCGGCGCGAGCCCCGGAGCGCGCGCCCCCCGGAGGGGGGTTGATTGACACGTGTCACTACCTTCCCTCGGCCCTTCCCTCCCCCTCCCACCGCTCCCTCAGGGAGAGGCGGGGAGGGAGCGCCTGGAGAAGGAAGCAACCTGCCGCTTCCGCTGACCCCGCCTCTCCATCCACTCCCTCTTTTCCCTCCCTCCCCCCGGAGTTTACTCTTGCGAGCCATACTGCTCCTGCCGCCCGCGAAAACCCTGAGCGGGAGCGAAAGACCCGGAGCCCAGCCAGGAACCCGCGTGCTAACGGAGCTCAATGGTAACGCCTCCCTTCTGCCTTGGCTACGGGTCCTGGCCGCCCGGAACTTCACTTCCCAGGCTCCTTTGCGCTCAAATCCCCAAGCGAAGAGCAGGGCTGCGGAGCAATGTGCGCTGGGTGTTGTAGTCCAGCAGCGGGGAGCGCTCGCTGGTCTCTAAGTGGGCTTAGCCTGTGTGCTGGCCGCCCTTGCTCTGGCCAGTCCCCGCAACTTTTTAGCTTTCTTAAGTTCTGCTAAAGAAGAGTCCAAGGTTTGCTTTATGTCTTAAGCGCTGGCAACTTTTCGAGGTCACTATCGCCTCGCCACTCTCCTAGGAAAGAGCGAGTCGGTCATTTGGCTGCAGCAGAGGAAACTTTGGGAACCCACAGTGACTTCAGTTTCCCAGGTGAAGAAATCTCGGAAAGTAAGAACATTTGTAAAGATTGGCGAAAGGATGTCCTTTTCATAGAAAAAAAGAGTCTGTAGGAGTTTGGTTACAGCTGGCTGCAAACTTCAGAAGGGAAATTTTTTGTGCTACATGAAATGAAACATGGTCTTGGAGGGCAAAGATGTTCTGAGACTTCTGTACCTTGAAGTCTCCCGTACTCTCATCCTGTTACAGTGTGTGGCATGGGATTGAGCACTTTTCAATTGGTAGGGAATGAATTCTGTGTTGTGCCAGAGAAAATAACTGGGGGGAGGGTGATCTTTGGGTTCAATATCATCTTCAGTTACAAGATGATACTTTTATACCACAGCAATTGTACATTAACTGTTTATTTCTGAAAGTTGCTAGGGCCCAAGGGGAAGCTAAGCCACTCACATTTGGTGAGAACTATGTGTAGTACTGGAGATTTATGCACAAGCCTGAGAGAAATGTCTTTTAATTCTTCTGGGAAATTCATAAATTCTGAGTCATATATCATTGTTCCTGTGTTGTGGCTTACCCTTATTGTCTTCTTTCCTAATGCCCCCATGAGAAAATATTCTATTGTTCATCATTACCTTAGCAGTAAAGATACAACATTACATCTTCATAAAGTTTTTTAAAAAGTGATGTTTGAAATCTTGTACCAGTTTTTCCAGACTGGTTACAGCTGAAAGCTGATTAAGATCACTTCCTGAACGTGCTTGTGGAATTATCAGTAGACGGTTTTAATTAGCAATTAGACCTAGAATTGCCTTTGCAGCATCACTTTTATAATAATCTGTATTGGTTAGGATGGAACAGGTTATGGCATAGTAACAAAAATCCAAAAATATTAATGCATTTAAAATAAAAAGCAAAGTTCATTTTTTCCTTATCTACATGTTCCTCTGAGGGGGCTTCATTTCAACAACTGGGTGGCACCATGGTCAAATCTCTCCCCCTGGTTTGGTAGGCGGGAGAAAGATGAGAAATGGTAAACTGATTCTTCCTAAAAGTGACAGGAGTCAATTTTACTCATGTTTCCGTATTGACCAAAGCAAATTGTACAGTTATGTCTATCTTCAAAGGGGAAGAGCATGTGTAATTCTATTATTTGTACAGAAGAAAAATAAGATATATTGGTGAGTAGCACCAAATATTATTGCACCCCTTCCTTCTAGTACAGCTCACTCTCTTTTTAATACAAAATACATTCACTTCTAGCTCAAGTGAGATAATCCAAAAGGTCTGTTTAGCAAGCCATTAATATTAAAGTCTAGCATCTCTGGGTGATACTAAGTAGTCTCTATATTAAAACTTCTCTTGTTATGGACATTTAATAAGGCATAGTATCTATCCTCCACAGAGAGAGAGAGAGAGAGAGAGAGAGAGAGAGAGAGAGAGAGAGAGAGAATCAAAATATAGTGGTGAGGCAGGGACAAAGTAACTAAGATATCTTAGTTCATTTTGTGCTACCATACAGAATACAAGAGATTGGCTGATTTTATAAAGAACAGAATTTTATTTCACGAAGTTCTGGAGGCTGCAAAATCCAAAACAATAATACCTAGTAAGAGACTTCATCCCATGTGGAAAGGCAGAGAGGGCAAGAAATTTAAATAGAAGCCTTTTCCCCTTTTATGACAAACACACTCCAGAGATGATACATCTATTCCCTCCATCCTGATAGGCTAATCTTTTGTTAGGTACCACGTCCAATATTGTTGCATTGTGAATAAGGTTTCAAACATATGCTCTTTTGGGGGGAGCATATTCAAAAGCAATATGGTAAACACTGATATTTAGGAAAGGATAAAATAGAAGATATAATGGTCCCTCACTTATTGCAGAGGTTACGTTGCAGACACCCCCGTGATAAGTGAAAATCAGAGAAGTAGCAACATTATGTTTATCTTAGTATTTATACATTAAAGCTTTATAAACCCTTCCCACACTCTTATAAACCTTTCCACCTCTTTAAAACACTTCTAATGTTCTTAATCATTTTCTAAACTCATAAACCTATGTAATTTTTAAAAATGTAATTGGTACAGGGTGTCACTATGCAGGTCAGACTCATAGTGATTCTCCTGTTTTTAGCCTCCCCAGTGCTGGAATTACAGGTGTGCACCACCATGCCTGGACTTGGTGTGAGGGTTCGAACCCTCGTCCCTGTGCTTTTCTAAGCAGGTGCTTAGTCCGCTGAGCTATCTTGCTGGCCCTAAACCTATGTAATTTTAACAACATATGTATACTGTAGAGTACTGCAAAATCCCAAGATATAGCAAAAAGTCTGAGATAGTTTAGATGAATATTTTTCGAAAATCCACGAAACATTGTGTCTGTTCAAAGTCAAATCATGAAGTAGTGAGGGACTACTACCAACGGCAAATATTTACCAATTTTGTTTTACCATAGTTAACATTAATTTTCAACTTTCCAGTCTCCAAGAAGTTTCTTGGTTGGGGTTTCTAATGCTGGGAACTGCAAGATCTAGATTGGCATCTTCATCCACTATGCCTGTAAGTCATGGCTACGTATTTTAAATTTTTAGTCATAACCTTTTGGAATCAATTTCTTTATTAGAATACTCCAGTTTCAAAAACTCAGAATCTCAGTGACTTAAAAACAAAGGTTTGTTTCTTGATGTACTGTGTGTCTCCTATGGGCCAGTGTGAAAGTGGGCGGGGAGAACTGTTCCATGTCTATTGAGAACCTGGACTTGTGGAGCTCAGTCATCTGGAAACTCCCTAGTCACCATGACAAGAAAAAGATGATGCAGAGTCACAGCCCAGTATTTACAGCTTCTACCGGAAGGGACATATTTGAATGAATGAAGCAAATTGTGAGGCCAGATCTATTTTTGTAAATGCTACATTAGATAGCTTTGAGGGGTAACAAACCATCCTAAAACTTAGTAACGTAATGTACCAACTATTTAATTAGTTCGTGGTACTATGGAATGAAAATTTGTGCTAGGATCAACTAGATATTTCTGCAGGCCTTACTTCGGCTCACTCAGGTATTGTGTATTACTGCTCATCGGTGAGACAGCTTGACTTCTGAAGGTCAGTGGACTATCAGCTGGGACAACAGAGGCCAGTACTCCTCATGCTTGAAAGGTTAGGCCTCTTCGGATTGTGATCACCACAAGGCTTCATGAGCAATAAAAGGTCAACCCCTATTCCCCAAGGGCTTTTCAAGTGTTAGGTTGGGTTGTATCTGTAGAAGTCCCAATGCCTAATTGGCTAAAGCAAGTTGCATGACCAAGCCCGTTGTTAATATGGGGAAATGGATTCTGTCTCTTTATAAATGAGTCTTTTATTTACATTGCAAATATGTGTACATAGAAGTAATGCCACTTTTGTGACCACTTTTGCAGTCTACTGAATTTGGGAAAATGCAATGTTACCATATTACCCAAAAGAAGGTGAAATAGAAATATAAAAAAGACTAGTGAATATCAAATTTCTGGAATTCTGCGAGAAGGAAAAAGTGAAGAGATATATGTAGTTAATATTGGAATTCTGCCACATTTAAAAGAATAAAGGTGTTTCATAGAAAATACCAACACATAGTATAATCACTTCATAAACATACAAAGAGGAATTTAGCTGATAATTCATTTTACTCTAATCATCTAGTACTGAGCCAGGTGCATAATTTGTGTCTAATTTTTATTTATTGATTTATTTATTGACATTGACAAATGTTTCAGCTATCTATAAGCCCAGAGATAAAAAGAGGATCATATCCAAGTTTATTTCCTACACCAAAAACAGTTACTAAGGGTTTGAATATAACAACAGATGTATGTTAATGTTCTTTGCAAAGATGTTTTGCACTGCTATCTATATCCTATACGTATTGTATCACTTATCTTTGTGATGTAACAAGCCAATCCATAACATAGTGCTTGAAAGAAATATTGGTTATTACTGTCAAATCAGGTCTGTGCTGCTGATCTGGCAAGGCCTTACCAATCTTGGCTGGAGCCGCTAATGCTGAAAAGTGCAAGATCTAGGTTGGCCTCATGTTAGTGTGGCGTGAAGTTTGGCTCCCTGTTTGCTCGGTAAATAGGAAAGACTAAGTCATCCAGGGGCTAGCTAGAGTGCTTATTTACACAGTGGCAGCATATGAGGCACCTCAGGGTAAATGCTAATGTGTGAGTGCTTTTCTTCTTTGCATAATGTTTGCTTGCTACTATCCCACTGACCAAAGCAAATCACAAAGATAAGACAAAAGTCTTAGTGGTCAGATACAAATCATCTTAGTCACTTTATCTCTGCTGGAGCACAGTATCTGATACCATGATTTGAAGGAGGAGAACTTTATTTTGGCTCATGTTTGCAGTCCATTGTCTGCTGCCTCAAAGGCAGAAAGACAAGGTGGAAGGGTTTGGGTGAAGGAAAGCTGTTCATGCAGTAGCAGCAAGGAAACAGGAGA